AGATGATAATTGAGCAGTATGTTGATCAAACTCCTTTTCATGAGCTTCAATTTCTCTATCATAAATATCCCGACAGTATTGGCCAGAGGGTGCAGCACTTGGACTGGACTCAAAGGAAAGAAAAGGCTTGTATAATCCACTCTCACGTTCAAGAACAGTTTGCAAATACTGAACTTCCAGCATATCATGAAATCGGTGGTGAAGAACATTTAGGCTATCTGCAAATTGTTTAGCTCCCAAGCTATTTTGAAAGCAGCAACGCATGATAACAAAAACCTGCTTTGAGAGACCACTTCGTTTACTAAGGTAGGCAGGGAATTGTGCAGCAAGAGGCCTAGGTAGCTTGGCTATGACTAAAGGATTGCAGCTTGAGAAAGTGTGGACAGGCTTGCACTGATTGCATCTATAGCGCACGGAAATCAGATAGTATGAATTCTCAAGATCAATTATGTGGCGTGGCATCTGACAATAACCATGGCGAACCAATATCCCAGAACAAGCAATAGTGCTTGTACCAGATGTATGAATAACTGGGCAAGGGATGCGATCAACAAGAAGCAAGGGATCCCAATAGAAAAATCAAGGGATCAAAAGCTGCTCTGGAGACAAAGTTTTTTGCTGAAGATAGAAGAAAGAGTCAAAATGAGGCAACCAGAATGACTGAAGCTTCTCATAAACCAAGTGTTTGGCTGATCGCCCTTGACCTTCTGTCAAACCCTTGAGATACTCAATTTTTTTCCAGAATGCATCCAAGACCAGTGATGGCAGTTGCCCAGAAGTTTCACCATCATCCTCAGTAAAGTCTCCCTCAGCACTTGCAGCATCACCATTAATCCCATTGCTGTTGCCTAGTCCAAGAAAACTGTCCAAATCATCCTCACCTGGTGAGTCATCCAATTGCTGTAAAGGATCATGTGCAGGAAGAACAAAAGTCTCAACTTCTTCATGATATGTTGGCTCTGATATTGGGTTTTGGTCTGATGGAAGAGAAACTGGCACCTGATCTGGGACTGCTGCAACTGCTTGAGGAAGAAAAATAGGAGCAAGTGGCTGATGCATATTTATCCCAGGTTCCATATGCACAGGGCCATCCTAAAAGTATTAGAGTAGTTTATAAATAGGCAAAAATGCAATATTATTTACACACCACTGTCTGAACCTGTGTTATTGACCTCACAGCCTGTTTCCGAGGTCTTCCAGGCCCTCGATGAATTTCTGTAGTGCTTGGATTATTGTTAGTAACTGAAGTTGTGGCACTGTGCTTGTTTTTCGACCCTTTCGGACGGCCACGACCACGTTTGCCAGTTGTAATTTGTACTTCTGTATTTTCAGCAGGGCGTTGACTGACCAAATGAGGTAAATAAGACAGTACAGTAAATACCAAAAGGACTTACTTGTCATTGACAGGCTGATTTGGAGCTTGCAAGTTCATGGTATCTGTGTTTTCGGGCTCCTCCATCATTCTATTGTAAGATTTTCGAGGATTATCAATGCTAGACAAGCAGACACGCAGTGTTGACATTGGATAATTGAAAAATAAAGTTGAAGTACATTTAAACTCACAATATATACAAGATATATCTTCTGAGGTCGCGTTGAACAAAGGGGCAAGAAGAAAAGACGAAGATTCGAGCTGCAGAGCCCGAGGCTGCAGTTTCAAGTCATGTGCGGCGCGTGGCATGGTTTGCCGCGCATCGGCATTCCAAATTGGAAGCCCATGTGATCTTTTCAAACTCCGTTCAGTAGTGATCAGTAGTGAAGCACAGGTATGGGTAGCGACCCCCGGCAATTACAGCTGAAAGCAGAACGATAGGCCATGCCAGATCGACGCATACATAGGGCGGACTCTCAACTTTTACTGTGGTACTAGTGTGACATCAATTCGGAGGTTGAAATTTAACACGTTGTGAGAACTCAGCGGCCCCAGCCATCACGTCGCTTCGAAAATTTGGGAGTCCGCCCTGAGCATGTGTCGATCTGCCGTGGCCTATCGTTCTGCTTTCAGCTGTAATCATGCAAACGACTGTAGCGAGCTGGGAGATTGGGCAGAAATTTTATTTGTACTTGTTTGGTAATTACGACCTTGACAGACCTTGACAAGCAAGGTGACTTCTACCTTGTATGGCCCCAACATCACGCAGAACGGTCAACCACCCTTCGACGTCGCGGACGACGTCCTCAGGCATTTTATCCGGCGTTTTTAGCTTTGTTTCTCGCGAGCTCGAATCTTTCGTGGCAAACGCGACTGGATCCGCTCAAACCGATGTCAGCTGATCCTCTCCGCCCCGTCTTGTTGTGAAATTGACGCGTCGAAACCTAGGAACTAGACACATTGGCAGAATTTAGTGATGAAGAACAAGACGTAGAACAAACTCACGAGAATTTGGAAGTTGGTGACGAAGAGGTTTCGCCTTCTACTCCTAGTGGTGGAGCTCGAACGGCCAATGTAGACACGTCAACTCCTGGCCCTTTACCACCCCGATCAACTTTCCCTGGAGTCTTGAAGCGACGCCAATCATGTACTATGCCGGGATCCCTGTTTGCTCGTTCTCCTTCCATGGACCCAGAACCAAATCAAATCGACCTCCGTGTTCGTTTTCTTGCCGATTTTGAAGCATCCCCTTCATCGGGCCCAACGCAGGATCACGACCCTGGAGAAGATAACATGCCTGGTCCCTCAAGCCGGTTGCGCTCAGACTACCGACTAGATACAGATAGAATGGGGAAATCACACAGGAAATCTTCTGTTAAAGCTGTTGTTGACAAGTTCAGGCTTGGCGAAAAAGCTGCTGACCCGTCCATTCTCTTGCCCAGTCCTACCAACTCTCCAGGAAAGAGCAAGATCTTTTCTTCTGGCCAGCTCCATAGCGAGCAAACAGGCGAAGGCAATAGCCGTCGGAAGGGAAAACAGCGTGCCGTATCTCCTGTGCAAGAACAGGGAGAGAATCCGAGGGACCCTCTCTTCAAAGGGAAAGAGAAGGAGTTGAACTTTGTCCGAGAAGAGCAGAGGAAACATGAACGAAGGTCGGAACGTGGGCAGGACGATTTACATGACAAGGAAAAGATTAGGATGCTAGAGGAAGAAATTCAGCGATTGAAGACGGAGGTTAGGTTTTATTCTGGGTCTCTCATTTCCTCACTGATCTTCTTGTAGCTTTCCCGCAGGTCTGCGTCCACTTCAGACTTTCCACCCCCTCC